CTAAATCTATGACGAAAGAAAAAAAGGAAACCTCCCTTAATTAACACCTTGAAATATTTCCTTGCGATATAGCTGAGATTATTATTTAAAGACTATTAGGATACTAATACCAATTGTTGTATCTCAATACTTATGTTACATGAGTTTCTGTCATTAAGATTAGAGTACCGGATTAGAGTACCGAATTATTAAAATAAATGTGCCTGATAAAGATTAAGCATTTAAGTTGGGACTATTGCCAAAACCGGTTGTTATCGTAATGTCCGTCGTTCCATCGAGAACAATTCTCAAACCGTGGCGAGCTCGTCGACGACATCTTTCACAACGTGACGAGCAATAAATCGACGTGAAGAAAAGAAACGCTTTAGTAGGTTGATACGAGGCTGGCGAACCGGTTTCGGACTACGTTTGATGCAGATGCGCCGAGACCCCCTACGAAATCGTGTAATGAAACGATTTAGACGCGAAATCTACACCTAAATCGAGTGCTGGCAAAGCTTTCTCTCGCGGCGACCGGTAGAAATAAAGACTGATCCTCTCCTTCGAAAGAACGTCACGAGCCTTTTCAAGTTCGTGCAGCGACATTGTTGACAGCTAGGTGCAATCATAAGGGAAAAGTAATATCGCAGCCCCTTAAACCTCTCAGCTGCCGACTGGACTCGGTCTCTCGCGATGACCAACTGAAATTTTAATTCGCACGCAACATAGACTAGGAATAAAATTCGACGATCATCAGTCGACATTGCCAAAAATAACTGTCTTCAAGTTCGAATTATATTTGTGTGTGTGTTATTCAGATAAATCTTTAAATCTCATTAGAAAATTTTAATGGCAGATTATTCAGAACACATTTTCGTCGAAAAGAAATTATTGGAGAGGGCGGATAAAAAAAGCGTGCGAAATTTTGCGAAGTTCATAACATCATTCCGCGTTTGAATTTTCCTCGAGTGTTCCGCCATCGCGAAAGATAAAACGATCGTCTGCGTTTCTACTGGTATGATAGATCGCGTAGTCGTGGTATCGTTTCGCGCGGCGACGACGCAACTATTCCATTAAAATTCGCAGCGGTGGCGGCGGCAAACGATAACGACGCCGGTGGTATAGCGAGAGGGGGGCGTCATCGTCCTCGTCCTCGGCGTCGTCATCGGCGGCGACGGCGCCGCGACTAAGCGCACGCGAAAATTTCGTCCGTCGCGATGCGCGGACGCGACACGTCGCGACGCTGCTTCAACCGTCGGCGAGATTATATGCGGAATCCGTACCTCGGCGGTAAACGGGTTTCTATAGGCTCGTGCGAAATACCGGGTGGCTTGACAAGAGCAATTTATCATGCTCGATCTGTATTTGCATACGTCGTCGGAGAGCCCCGTTGCTCATGCCCGCCGCGACATCACATAGTCGAGTGCCTTTTGAAATTTGCGTGTTTGCGAATACGAGGCCGCTCTCTTTCTCTCTCTCTCTCTCCCCTTCTCCCTCTTTCTCTTTCATTCCCGTTCCTCCCGCCTCTTCTGTCGTCCCACCTTCGGGTACACACACGGCAATCGCCCTCTGAACTCGGCGAACCCTCCCTCTTTCTCTCGCTCGGCAGCTCATCGCTTCAAACGTCCCCGACGAATGCTTGCGAGCTTCTGTTCGAGACAAACGATGCGCGAGATATGAATTCGTGCGCGGGACTTAACTGATCGTTTCGAGGGACCCGTCGATCTGCCGCGTTAGTAATCGCGGGGGACGCTGCCGGACGCTGAAAGAGGTCCATCTATATATTCCACAGCGTCCGTCTGCGGTGCCGAGAGAACGCCCGACGACCCGTAAATTCGGTTACGCGTAGGCGCCGTATTTGATTCTCATCAGACGCGTTTACCCGTTCCGCTCGCGCGTGAGTGAAGCGAGCGATGAACGAGCGATGAATTAACTTGGAAAACGATGAACAGGCAGGCGCTAACTTGGGTATATCATATCGAGACTATATTTCATATTTCCGTTCATATTTACGCCCGAGAGATCTTAAGTCCTCCCTTCTACCTTCTGCGCTACCAGAAACGCGATCAGAGCGCGTCCAGTTTGTGTCTCGGTCCAGAGCGGTGGTCTCGAAGCTCCGGGTCCGGTGGTGGTCACGCCTCTCCTCCCAAAAACGGTCGCCAGACGCAATCCTCGATACAGATAAGTCATGTCCGTCATTTTTCAACACTCGCGCCACGGGTCTTCTCCCTCGGTCTCCTCTCTTTCAACGGTCACACCGGCAATATCGGACGGGCGAGCGCGCACGGCGACGATTTCTCATCGGTCGCGCTGCCGGACTTTTCCAGCGGCGCGAGTTTTATCTCGCGCTTCCACCCTTAATTTGATTAATCGACGAGGATCTTGACCCTCCGTGCCGGCATTAATCACCGTCCGGTCGTATGCATACATGGCCGCGGCATTAGGAGCGCCACGCCGGGAGACGCGAATGCGGACGGTCTTGCCATTTGTTAGAACCGCTTGTTTAGAGAGAAGCTTTACACACTCGACCGGCTCTTCCGCCTCGCGGCGCGCGGATATTAATGGTGGATTAATTCGGCGAAGGTACGTCCTCGAAGATACGAGGCTACGTGAGAGTTCTACAAGTTGAGCTCGCGCATCATCTGCCTTCGATCGTTTCGGTTGTCACATGTCACACGCGGTAATTTAATAATTACGTGTCACTTTCCTTTTTATAGAAAACAGTTTTTACTTTATGGAACAAGAAAGAAGAACGGTGCGAAAAATTAAAAAATATTGTATCTTGAGATGGAAATTTAAGCGAGTGCTTATCCAAAAAATAAAATAAGTAATTAACTTCATTATAGACTTAATCATGGAAATAAATCATAATACATTATAAAATTGTATAATATTTTAATATTAAAGAAAAAAATCAGTATTGTAAATCACTATGTTGATATATTTTGTATAAAGCTGTAAAAAGATTTGTAAAATTCCAAATAAGTTTAAAGTGTTTGATTTATGTAATTTTTAACGAAAATACGTACACATGTTTATTTAATTTTACATATCTTTTTACAATGAAGATAAACAGACTAAATAAAAAATGCGTTAAAGACGGAAAAACAATAAAGCCTAAATAAAAAACGAAAAAAAAATTTGCAAGAAAATTTGCAAATTGTTTCAACAACATTTAATCTATCGGATTAGAAAATATTACTTGCAAATTATGACATCTCTCATGTCACTTGCAAATTATAATGTATCTCATAATTTGCAAGTGTCCTCGGAAAAAACGGGTGACTTCGTATGTTAAAAAGATGTCATTTGCAAAGTTTTCTTTTATTTGCATCATAACGACTTTGTACACTTCGATTGACGTTAACGCATATAATGCGCGATAAAATCACCTGCAAGAATAGCAGACGGGCAAAAACGATTAGAAAAGAGACTCACTCAGTCACTATTGCGAGATGCTAAACGTTCGCCCTGATTTCGAGTCGGTGGCAAGCCCCTGTTACCGGAGGGTCGCAGGTCTTGATTTACTAGCTGTTTATACCCTTTCCAACCCCTGGGGCCTGCATTATAACCGTATTTATACTAATAACCTCGCCCAAAGTCGCGCTAGGTTCACAGGTCTAGGTGTGATTTACTGACAATGTTGTCGCTATTAAATGCAACGGTAAGAAAAGTAAAAAGAGCGACACAATGGCCATGTGTACGCGGGCTAAAGGGTGGCAACAATGACATTCGACTATTACCTGTCAGCCATGTAAGATTATGACTTCCGTCTCAAAGAACATCGAAAGCAGGAGAAGTCTTGGGAAATGTCAAAATTATACGTTTGAAATAAGCAGCTAACTGTTTATGGAAATTAAATTGCGTCTATAAGTATTATATATTACTGTCCATAAAAAAGAAACCTGTAGTGATATAGATAATAAACATAAAGTAAAATGAGAGTATCTATAGCGTAAAGGGTAGAGCCATACAAAATTTATTTATTTTCAATAATATGTAATAATATAAAATCAAACTTAAGTCAACTTTTATTTCTCTTATCCAAGTAATACCTGTTATATGTCAGAAATCAACAACAACTGATATTGTTAGGCGATAGAAAATATAATCTCCTCGAATAAGTTGGTAATAAAAGTGAACTTTTGTCAACAAGTCGCTGGAAGATTGAACCATTTTTCTACCGGGTCGGTAAATCAAGAAGTCATTGCGTGGAGAATATCATCGCGGACATACATAGAGAGGTACGGATCAGAGAGAAACAGCTAAGCGATATGTCGGTACAAGCGAATGGATGGAAGGGAGGAAGGAAGGAAGGAAGGAAGGAGGAAGGAGAAGCCGTGGCGCAGGGATCCTCTCCAGTAACAGGATGTAATTATGATCGGTGAGATACGTCACGCATAACCCCCGTATTGACGTCCACAAATCACGCTGCACGGCCGGCCATGCGGTATCTCGCGCCACTCGGGGGACTACGATCCTCAAACTCAGACGGCCTAACGCGACACTAAATCCAGAATTATGTACGCCGCCGTGCGTGTAGACGTCGACGTGGACGCGCGGGATCTCTCGAGGATTCGCCGTGTCAAACGTGGGAAATGTGACGCTCGCGAAATTAGCACTTAAGGCGCACTCGTGAGATACTGTCATGTGGCCAGCGAGACTGGAATGTGCGACGCTGGAGCGTGCGGCACGTGCGGCACGTTCAGGAATGCATTGGGAAAATTGTTTATCTTTCCATTTTCATACGTACTTCGACGTGATAGAGAGAGAGAGAGAGAGAGAGAGAGAGAGAGAGAGAGAGAGAGAGAGAGAAAGAGAGAGAGAGAGAATCCCTTACAGGATATTTTACACTATTTTACACATATACATATACATATGCGCACGCACATCTGGCAACGTATTATAATAAATAGGAGGAAAAATGCATCTTATTTAATGTCCAGTGCCATGTAGACTCAAAGGACTTTCTGATCAGACCGCTTGACTATTTTAATATAAAAAGAAACAGAATCACGAAATATTTCCTAACATCTCCTTTATCGGTATACGATTATAATATATATTACAATATTAGTATTTCAAGCTTCTTTCACTATTACGGAAAACAATTTATTTAATTTATTTTTTAATAAATGTAACAAATAACGTAAATAATAAAATACATAAAATTGGTGCGTCATAGAACATGTTAATTATTAACAATACCTATTCGATAAAGTTTTATTCTATAATTAGACTGCTTTCAATTTCTTATAAGAAGTAAAAAAGTTCCAAAAGAATGAAAGATTTATAACACCGTTAAAAAATGTTATAATCGGGAAAAGCGTAGTCGTACTATTGCACTTGAACACGAGACCTTGCAAAGGAACTATCGTAAGGATTGCAATTTGTGCCTGTTAATAAAAACGTAATATTTAATATGTATGAATATATGGAGAAAATAGATTTAACGCTTACCATTTGTAAAATAGTAATCCATTTTTTAAATGGCAATATCTTTTGTTGTACGTGCGATCCATAAGTGCTCAGATAGTAATACGAATACATTATTACGTGTACAGAGCAATTAAGCATTATTAAAACCATGGAAAAACTATGGACAAAGTATCTGAGTATCGACCAAACGTACATAACCGTGGAAACGTGATGATATGTGTGTAAAAATGAAACCTGCTGGCTCTTTTTCCTTAATACAAACACTATAGTTTCAATTAAATCCACTATTTTAAGTAACAATGCCCACCACAGAATTTCAAGTTGCTGCAATAAAAAAAATGAATCTTTTTATTATTTCTTAATTGTATTAAGGAATAATAAAACTTTGCAAACTTATATCTTCTTGAAATTTTTAAATATCTAAAATATACTCAATTAAATGTTTCTGATATTTGACAATCTAAAAGTTTAACGTACCTTTTCAATCCCATCACGACCACAAATTTCGTCGAACGAATCGCAAAATCTCCAAATGGCAGAAAATGGTTTACCGAATATCACGGTGTTATATATTAGCAAAAAATTTGTAATAACTTGAAAAATATTGTAACACTGTATAAATGTTTTCAACGAATACGGCTTTCTATCTTTCATAAATCGCGGACCAGCAAAGTAAATAATGTATAAATAAACTATCGATATAGAAATAACTGGTACCGAGGAAGGTACCAATGGCCACTGCATTACTTGTGCATCTGTAAAATTTATACGGTACAACTTAATGCGCGTCATCTTGTGGAAAAAAAGTAAGAATTTTTACAATAATTGTACTAAAAAATTTTTTAAATGTATAAAATTTCGTTGATGTCTGTTACCAGCCATCTGTTCTGATTTATGATGAATAGATTCCATTTGAACTGTCGCTTGACTTTAGCGTGTGCTTCTCCTACTGGTTTGAATCAAACTGAGCAGTGGCAAGAGAAACCACAGTCTTTAAAGTCATCAACATTCATATGTAGTAACTCTCTTGCGTAATATGTAAATAGATAAACTGTCATATTTTTCATGATAAATGCTTATAATTATGAAAATTAGCTCTTCTCCATACCAAGTGCGTACCTTACTAAAAATTTACTCAATAAATAAAATATAAATGTAATTTTCATTTTACAAGATATACAATTTTTTGAATTTTATAAATTATTCTTTCTTATATATATCTCCTTTATATAATGTCATTTATTTGATAATCTATCAATGAAACGTAAAATTTATATAATTAAATTTATATAAAGTTTATGTAACATTATGTCTGTTTTGTCAAATAATAAAGTAGAAATAACAATAAGTAAATTTAATTAAACATTCAGACAAATTAAAAATATCTGGACAAAAATGAAATGTTGCGCATATATAAAATATATTATCCACGCAATTTTCCTAATGCAAATATAGAATGTTGTAAAATGGCGATAAAAAAACAAATTTAACTTAAATATTAACTAATTCATGCAAACTGCAAGACAATCTATAATTACAAACAAGAGAGATATAAATCAATTTAAAATAAAGTCTTTAAATTAATTAACCGTGTCAATTATGTTTTGATAAATCTCTATTTTATTAAATAACTTAAATTATTTAACCAACTATTTATGCTTGTCGCGCTAATAAACGTGCAGATATAAGAAAGCTGAAGCTACCCTCGAGGTTACAAATTTACATGTGATTTTCTCCCTATCGCCTCATCGCGTAGCATCCACGATCCGGAACGCGTTCTGTCGTCCGCAGACGCGAGCGGTTGATTCGTCGCGGATAATTGCATTTGCGTGATGCGTCAATGCAATGCGAATGTGTCCCGCTGGCCGTAGGCGCCACGAAGCATCCGGAGGCTGTCCAGAACTTCCGCCTCGCCGGATGCACCCGCGTACTCGCCGCTCCACCTCCCCTTTATCCACCTCCTTCCCTGAATCCCTTTAAACTCCCTTCGATAATACCGCGCGTTCCTATGCGACCCCGGCCATTAACTACGATATAGCGGACGATCACGTGACGTAACCGTGGGTAACATCAAAGCCAAAGGCATAGTTGCACCCCAGGGACGGCCTATGACGTTAGCCTATCTCGCTGCAGCTCGCTGCCTGCAACTGCACCGCCTCGAGGCGTCGTCGACGTTACCGTCCATCGTCCCGGTGCACGTTTAGTTAGGAATTTCGGCTTTAATGCTTAACCACTTTCCAGATTGTCGAGACCTAACCAACACACGTACGTGGTTACAAATTATTCAGTCAACACGTCCGTCCGTATCGGAAGTCTGCCTTTACGTCAAAGTTACTAATGGTAATGATAAATATCCATTGGACATTACATAATACAAAATAATTTATATTCATCATATTAATTCGTTTCTTCTGAAATATATATAAATGTTATTAAGATTTTTACATTTTTCTAAATATAAAAGAAATGTATATTTATATTGTATATTACACACGCACGTGTTACTCGTGGACTTCAACGTACGAGCGGAAGTTAAGAAGTCTCTAATCGAATAAAAACGAAGTATAATTCATATATATACTCCGGAACCTACAATCAGACATCCGCACAGAGAGGAAGTAGCAAAAAAAATAGAAAGACAGTCATACTTATATGCTCCACGCTAGCTTCCTTCCTCCCACCCTTTCCTGTCCCTTCGTTGCAAACGACGAAAAAGTTTTCACGGTATTTAAGCAAGTTGCGCACAAAATAGTAACAAACCGTCAACCATATGTCGCCTACGATACAATGTAAAACCGTCCCGTGGGACTTGATAATCGCTCTCGTCCCAATTTGTTCCGTTCTGATTGCTCACAGGACTGACCTGGGATAACCATCACTTACACGGTTCACTTGTTCCACATATTGTGGATCTATGATATGTTATTTTCTTAAGGGCCCTCTAAAAGGCGAGTAGAAAGAAAACGAAGGTTAGAGGAGACTATTACGCGCATTTCAGAATCTTTATATCTCCCTCCTCACAGAATTCTTCTTAATATCTCATTTATTTTTCATAATAAGATAATTAAACAAAACAAAAAAAATTTATTGCAGCTCACAAGCGGTGAGTTTTGCCTTTGAATAAGTTTTTTTGAATTTGAATAAGTTTTAACTTTTCAAAAAGATTCCAGATTTTATTTCGCTTATCTTGAAGAAAAAAAGAGCTATACAAACCTGTTGAATACATAATACATAATTATAAGAAATTTTTTTTTCTGTAAAGTACGTGCAATGTTTCAAGATTGTGCAAGTATAATCGTTGAGAGACTGAGGAGGGACAGATAGAAGAATTTGAGAACAAGTGTAAAGAAGCAGGAAAAATAGGGAACATGCGGGAAAGGAGGAAGTGGTATAGGAGCGCGAGCGAAGGTTTTTCGCAACAATAGACAGGATGTGCGAAGGGTTACCATTGCAAATCACAATAGCGACCGCAAAACGCGAATGACAGGTTGAATAGACGTAGCTAGAGAAACGAGTCCTGGCGGTAACCTATTATTACCGGGATCTCTTTTATACGGGCTATTCTGTGAGAAAACTACGTTCTCTAAGGGCGGTTTTTAATTCATCGATCGAATAGGAATACTTTATCCCCGTCTCGTAGATTTTTATTTTTTATTTTTCGTTTTCTTTGGATTATCTCTTTATATATTCGATAAATATTGAGAATGTAGTTAAAGATATTGTTGTTCATGTTACATAACACAATCGCAAAGAAAGTGAAATAAACAAGAATTCATAAAAAAAAAGTTAAACAGCACGAAATTCTTTAAATTTATTATGCGTTTTAAACATTTTAAATAAAGAATTCTTATTCTAAGAAAATAATTTTATGTAGCTATTTATAGTTCTTATTATCTCTCTTTTCTACATGAATTATCTCTTTGTTATTTCTTATCATTCTACTTTTTTTCGTAATTACATAATTTTACCATAGTTAGCATCGATAATCTCAGGAGATATTTAAACATTTAAAGTATACATAAAGTAGATAATCGCAAAAAACTTCTTTAAAAAAAAAAAATAAAAAGTTCACAAAAACCAAGACTATATGTACATCTTTTGCATAATTATAGTCTTTTTTTTTTCGTTATTATTTCGTCTTTATTTCGCAATGTCTATTCGATGCGAAAAATATTCGGCGCATTTTTAAATTTATTCTGTATGTATGTCGTATTTAAAAATTTAATTTGTAATATAATTTATATTCTATTTAATGTAATTTATGTATGTCTTTACAAAAGTGAAATATGACCTGACGGTAAAATATATTTAGACATGCAGCTCTTCTTTCACACGTTACAACATCTTCGTGGATGTGACAGAATCCAAAGCTCAGGTGTACCAACGTTTAATTTGAAACGCGCAGAGCGCACGACGCTTATCGCCAGCCGAAAGTCAAAACGCCCTTCGTTCCGCGTTGGGGATGGGGGTAGCAGACGGGGAATATTATTAAAGAGCGTCCGTCTGTGAGCGAAACCGACGACGTGAGCGAGCGTGATAATACTTGGTGGCACGCCATACGCGGACAGACGATGTGTCGTCGCAGAAAATAGTGGACCCCGGAACCTAAAGCCCTGCAATATTCCTCCGAGCAGCCAGGTACTCCGCCTGATTACCAAGCAGCACGTGCCGCGAGATATAATGCCGTCTCCATTTGCCAAGTAGCCGGCGATATAATGCCGTGAAATCGCTTCGCCGTTAATTCACCGTCCGCAGTCACGTAAGCGCGTGAGTTATTCGCCGGAATACCGTCAGGGATTTCCGTAAGGGAGCGCAGATGATATCGTCGGAGTATCGAGAATAAGTTATTTACACTGATAAAAGTAAAAAAATTTTTTTAAGTCGTAATTGTATGCCACTTTGTATTTATATACGTATGTTATATTATATTATATACATATTGTATTTATATACATATATGCACAAAATGTGCAAATGTTATCGTGGTGGCGATCAACTATACTTAAAATGAATAATTTAAATGCTGGATTATTCACGCACAAGACTCATTTGTTGAAAACAGAATTAACAAAAAAAATATAATACAAATGTCTCTTGTATTTAAATTAAGCGTTCTTTAAATCGAGCATTGAGTATAATCCGATTTATATATAGAAGCGTGAAAGATAAGGGAAATCTAATATATTTTTATATCTTTCAACGGAATATTATTTGTTAATCTTTTTTCATCATTTTTTTTAATTTAACTGTTTTTTTACAAATGCATGTAACATTTATCTATTTACAATAATTAAATTCACTTTTTATGTAATTATCCTTTAGATTGCAATAAAAAAATATAGATTGCATATTTCATCTTAGAAGAAAAATAAAACGTAAACAACTTAGAGAGATAATAAAAAATTACACCGGATATAACTTAGAATTTCTTGGATTAGCTTATTTAATAAAATATAGAGAAATTGCTACATTTTTACGCCAAAAAAGGATAATGTGTTATCATATATGCTCGTTATGCTACGTAAAAAAACACGAAATATAATAAGAATAAAAAATGACGATAAGAAATCATATTGTCAGAGCTATGCTTTAATAATAATGTGATTTTAATGAGCATTGTTGACGTAGCAATAGCATTATTGATAGACATAAAAGTATACATGTATTCTGTGAAGAGTTGTTCCTGTTTTTCTTCCCTTCCTCTCTTTTCCTTGCCGCTCTTCCCCCC